AAGTCTTTGGACAAAATTCTCCAAAATTTGCCTCCTATAGGTTTCAAACACTAGTCCTCATGAAAGGTTGGCAAGCCATTTGCCACTAAAGCATCGAGCCTCTTGTGAAAATGTTGCAAAGAATTTATTTTAAAGAATATTATAAGGATTGCAAAGGACAAATGCTTTCCTTTGGATTCGAACACGGAATATCTCGAATGTTTTAAATGATCCTTTCCACTTGATCCAAACTGTTATCTCTTGATACATTAAGATATATTTATTATAATAAAAATATGTAAATTGAATAAATTTAACACACATAAAATTCGAACCTTGATTCTCTTTAATGTAAGTAAGGAGTTATAACCACTGGAGCCACTACTAATTCATTGAAATAGGCTACATTATATTATATTTAATATATACATTCAAAATTCAATAAACTCATTTTTTTTAACCGGTTAAACCAATTAAACTATCAAAGTCATGAACTAAAAGTCAAAAAGGTTCGATCTCCGATTCAGTTTTGAAAAAAATGGTCACATCCCAAATACCTACCCTCAAAGGGAAGGCTAGGTTTTGAGCTGTGACTTAGGAGAGTCCTTTTAGCTTTCCCCAAATAAAAGGGCAAAGTTAATATTTTATTTTTGACAAATAAATTTTTCTTACCAACGACTTGTTAGTCCGAATGAAAGGAGTTCGGCTTTTTTTAAGTGAGATCTTGATTTGAGTCTTGTAAATGGAGAAATAAGCTTTGGGAGAGCTTTTCCTTAATGAAATCCGATGCGATTCAATTCCAAATTAATCGGAACTTAATGTTACTAGATACTGGGAGGTTAATATCAAAAAAATAAATAAATTTTTCTTCAAATTTTTTTAGATGAAAAAACTTTAACCCTATTTGGGTGTTCTCAATATTAATTTTAATTAAATTTGAACAAGTTAATAGACTTAACAAAAATAAAATTTCATTATAAAATATATAAAATTTGCAATAATTTTTAACATTTTGCATCATATTTTCTTGAACTAACATTTTTTGAAGTGCAATTGGTTTCTAACTAAACAGACATCAGGTTTTAAGGCTAATGTTGTAACAAACAAACTAGGGTTTCACTTTTCTGCCACACCTTCGCCAATCACCATGGGCAGGCGACCAGCTAGGTGTTACCATCAGATCAAAAAAAAAAAAAAAATGTTGTAACAAATTAAATGGTTTGCTGACATTCACTTTTCAAGATGTTCTAGTTTTTATTTTTTATTTTTCATTGTGTGATATAAAATATAAAAATTTTTAAAAGAACGAACTAATGCCAATAATTCAAATCTTGGCACTTCATACCTCATGTCTTATTTGAGGAAACAAAGCGGATGGGTTGGGAGGGGATAGGTCCTCTTCCTCCCTCGTTTGAATACACTAAAATGCGAAAGAAATTAGAGCAAATTAAGGGAAAACACCTTTCCACCTCTTCCCTCCAAATGTTGATATCCAAATAAAGAAAATTTTTTTCATCGCATCCCATCCCATGCTCTCAAACTAAATAAGCTATTAAAGTTAAGTGAATTAAAAAATTTAGGTTAAAATCTCATTTTAATTTCTTTATTTTGAAGAAAAGTCTCTCTTTTAGCCCTTAAAGTTTATTTTCTAGTCCCTTTTTTGTTCCTTCATCAGTTAAGTGATGACATCACGGTGTTTTCCGTTAAGTATTTTATTTGTTTTAATTATTAATGCTAACATGAAAAAGAAAACTATCCATGTGTACAATCCTAAATGACATGGTGAATTAATTTAAACCCATTAATAATTACTTTAAAAATCATAATTAAATTATCTTTAACATAATAATCCTTAATTAAAAGGTTTAATAAAAAAAAACCAAAAAGGTGTCTAGGGCCTTCTTCTTCAAAAAGGGCCTTCTTCTCTAGCGAGGGTCTTCTTTATTTTATTTTATTTTATTTTTATTCAAAAATGAAAAACTTGCATAAGCATCTAAATTCACTTCATTTGGCTTTAATTTCAATCAAGCTTAACAAAAATGTTGATCTAAGAGTTGAAATTGAATGGATTCAAAATCAAATGATGAAGTCAAATAATTTTTTGTTGTGATCTATTCTAGATCTAGAATCACACTATCCTAGATGCCAAATGGATCCAAACAAAACCCTAAAGCCTTTTCCCTATTAATCCTCCTCAACCATCGGATCTAGTACATCATTGAAAACAATTTCTTCCATTCATTTTTTTTCAATGTTCACCACAAGTAGTAACCATGTTGCTCCACTCTCAGCTCACTTTTACTGTCTTTGTTCCTAAAACAACCATAGTTGTTGCTTTGAAACCACTCCATCATTCTCCTATGAATTATTGATGGAACATAACCTCTTTTGGCTAAAGTGAGTGAATCAACGACTATTGGGGTGGAGATTTAGAAAGTTAAGGAGCATGAGTTTGGTAGTGGATGGAAAGCAATGACGGCGATCTGAAGAGTGAAGCATGGGAAAAAAATGAAGTCCATATGGGTTTCAAGCAGAGAGAAATTAATAAAAGGACTTAGTTTCTAATTCTTAGATCTAAAAGTAGATTGGCTTATTGATAAGTTGAATTTGTATACATATTAATGTGGAATTGTTGCCTTGATGTTATTGATATTTGGATGAGTTTTATGAGATTTTACTGAGTTTTACATGGTTTTCATTCTTTGAGTAGAAAAAGACTTGAATGCATAAAAATAGGAGTTTTTGAGATTAATTGAACATCTTTTGAAAGTTGAGGGACTAAATTGCAAGAAGAAGGGCACCTTTTTGGGACTTCAATGAATGAATCTTGAGGTTTGGGATCTAAGTGCTATCCTACGAAAAGCTGGGTGCTAGATCTGCTATTTTACCATTGACGAAATTGCAAAGAGAGACCAAAAACTCGACACGGATGTAGTGTCGATACATAATCGAGGTGTCGACACCATACGTTAAGCGTTCAAAATTAGACTTTCCGTTTCTTGTTTTGTATTGACACCATGCGTTCAGCATCCAAATTTCAATTTTTCTATTCTGCTTCAAGTTCTACTTCTATTTCAACTAGGGTTTCTAAAATCCTATAAATACCCATCCAAATTTAGGATTAAGAGAGCTTTGTGGAGGCTGGTGGCAGCCCTCTTTTGGGCATTCTTGAAGATCAAAAGAGAGGATTCAACAATAGGAGATTAATGATTGTAATTTTCTCAAATTGGATTTTATTATTTCTTGTTATTCTTATTCTTATGTTTATGACTATGATTTTAAATTTTATTATTTTTATTATAAACTGATTTATTCTACTAACCTAATCAATTCAATATAGATTTTGTGATTTTATGCTTTCATTTAAAGTTATTTGCATGAGAAGTTTATATTATTAAACTTAATGTATTGGAAGTCTGATCACCTTTCAATTGATTTAGTGATTTATTAATTTAGTGATTTATTAATTTAGTGATTTATGCACAAACTTGAGAAAGAATTGTGTAAATTAGACCAATAATAATATATACTGTGTGCTAGACTATGACATTGAGAGGTCATTAGCTCACATGTGGTAGAGAAGAGAGTTATGAACTCCCCCTCCTTAAGTTAATGGTTTCCATAGAATTTAATGCTCATTAGTTTGTTTAAAATTACATAAAGATATGATTAATTTAACAAACAAGTGAAGGATTAACTAGACTTGAGAAATCTAGTTAATTAATTTAGGGAAATCTGTTATCACATGCAATAACACTCAACAAATTAACATATTAATCTAGAATTTATATTGATTAATCATGGTGAAATCAATGTCTTAGTAACTCATATCTTGGTTAGATTTAATTTAATTGTTATTTTTCTTTTATTATTTTTTAGTTAAACTTTCTCCCTTTTCGATAGTTCAAATAAATTTAAATTAATTATTTTGGTATTTAATTAAACACAATTTTCGTGAGTTCGACACTCTCTTATCATTATATTACTGGGAGTGACTAATCCACTTGCTAGGGTGATTTTAGTGCATCAATTTCTAATAAAGAAAATTCTATCATGATCAAGAGGCTTTGTAAATATATCAACTAATTAATTTCTAGTATCAACAAACAATAAATCAATATCACCATTAGCAACATGATCCCTAATCAAATAATGCTTAATTTGTGTGTGCTTTGTGTGAGAATGGTGGATGGGATTCTTAGAGAGATTAATAGCATTAGTATTGTTACATTTAATGAGAATATGGTCCATGGTAATGCCAAAATCTAAAAGTTGTTATTTCATCCACAACACTTAAGCGCAACACCTAGAGGCACTATATACACTACAAATAAACTTGCTTTTAACAACAAAATACTTGAGTTCCCGTCGTTAATAATGATGAAAATTTCATACAAATAATGATGGGTTTAACACAAAGAAGTTAGTACCGTTTTGTATCGATGGTACGGTCGGTACGTATCGATTTTTGAGGTAAATCGAAACGGAATAAATTAGAATTTCGTTTTGATCAAAATCTGACAATTTCGGTCAAATTTCGACGTATTGATCGATATACTAAAATTTGACAGATACATTATGCAAGAATTTAAAAAAAAAAAAAAAAA